TTCGTGATTGTGGCTCGATTTCTTTTGGGTGCACATATATATATATATATATTTGTAACAAAGTGAATTTCATTTCTGCTTTGCTTATTTTAATACGAATTCACTATTTACATTTGCAATAATTTGCTGCCACAATTAGTTCATTTAACTAAAAAGCATCAGCTTTTTTTAATTTATATTGTATAGTTGAAAAATAAACATATCTTTAATGTGTGAAACATCTCCCTTCCCTAAATTTAGCCATAAATATATCTTTGTATTTAATTCTCTGTGTGATGAAGTTACAGCTTCATAGTTTTCTTGTTCTTTCTCATTTAAGTCAATAATGCCTCAATAAATTACCTTTGAATGTTAAGTCCTACAAACAGACCTGCTGCATGTCTGTTTTTGTGGTTATATTCATATACGATATAAATGGGAGCATATTTCCTTTAAAAATTCTCCAGTTCCTACAAACAAAACATTAAGCTCTACATTTTTGGTATTTCCTGTTAATGATTCTGATTACCTGTAATTGAGTTAATAAGACCGTTGGATGCTAGTACTTTGTTACAGGTTTGATTTTCTGCAAACGGGATGGCTGGATGAAATTTTTCTTCATATGTAACATGAATGTCAGCCACTTTCCCTTACAAAGGCCTTCCACAAAGCATCCTTCTTAGGTGGCCAATTCTGATGCAATTTTTTGTCAATACCAGATAATACTTATTGCTGTCTTGTGGTTTTTAATGTACAAATATTTTATTAATTTGATAAGTTGTTGACTAATTTTTTGAATTAGTTGCAACAACACACATCTACATTCATCTGATTCTCTTTCATAATCGATAACAACACATCAATAAGTTTCTGAAGTTGTCTAAAATTTTTTAAGGAAAAGGCAGAATAATAATAAATAAAAAAATAAAGAGGAAAAAACTTGCTTTTTACTTGTTAAATTAGCTTAGAATTAGCAGAACTGAAATAAGTTTTTAAAAAAGTGCTCATTTATCATATGTTTTCTTACAATTAGTGAGGATATTTTTCTTCCAATGAGAAAGTTGAGGCCTTGTTTCTTATTTCTTTGATACTAAGCACCACTTCACATAAACAACAGAAAATTTTAGATCACGGAAGGCATGTCTTTTCCCCCCAACATTCTTGTTTTTGACAAGAAATCAGGGTAAGATTTGTTCAATATGCAGCAATGATGTAATTTTTTCAACACTTAATAGTTTGGAAGCAAATTAAATATAGATAGAATAGCACAAAAAATTGAATCATGAATCTTTTTCAATAGCAAATTTTATTTGAAAAATGGAACAAATACTGCTGTAGGATAGACATTCTTTGAAACTGTGTAACATATTTATAAGGTAAAAATGCAACCCAGTTAACTCCTATTTAAATAATTTTATTGCTATTTAACACTATGATGAATGAAATGTAAAATAAAAGGTGGCAGCATAGTTTAACATGACACAGAAACATGATTAACCTTCCAGCTGGTTACAAAAAGGCACTTTAAACTAACTTTAATATTTTTACTTATTTCTAAAAAATAAGAAAGAAAATAAGGAATGGAAATCGCTATTGTTCTCCCATCCAAAGGTTTCCTTGTCTTCCTTTTTTTTATCAGATAATTCTTGACGAATGTGAGCAAAATCAGCTGGTTGCACATATTTTTTTTGCCATGAAAAACGATATAAAATTTACAGAGCCAAATGTGTTCGAATTAAAATAATACATGGCAATTAATAACAGAAAATTACAAAATATTTGAGAAAAAAAATTGTTTCCGAATTTTCACCTATGAGCATGCACGTGTCGTAAACTTTATGAAAAAGCTGCCACGTAGCACAAAAGCCCAGTTAAAAAAAAGAAGTTGCCACATTCCATGATGTGGGGAAGGGTAGAGAGGAGGAATAGAAATGACCTTCAGATGTCTCAGCTTCGATATGCGAAAAATGTGCATTAAAAACTGAATTTATTGTAAATTTTGCACATACACGCGCATGCTGGAAGGTTAATGAAAACTAAATAGTCGGCCATATAACAAGAGAAATGAAATTAAATGTTAAGAATCTAGTGCGTTTTGTATTGTTTTAGATATTGTCATGTGCATACAAGTTTGTAATAGATTGAATGCACATCGAACTGATGATAGCTTGATAAATTTTATTTCACCAAAAGAAACACTTCACAATTCTGGAATTTTCCAAAAAAATATTCATACAGTTTCTCACAGTATCACAGAATACAATCAGTAGTTACACTCCAAACTATAAGGACGTTAAACACAACTCAATGCAAAGCACATCTGAACAGCAAAGCTAACAGAGAGATATCTCAATACTCCAAACCATGGTGAACTAATAACTAACAACCGAGAAACTGATGCTCTGTCCAGTCTTATATAGTTTTCTCCTGGCCACTGAAAAATCTCTAGTACTTTCGGCTTCTCGAAATTACTGGAAGGCATATGAGAGCTAGATATGGTTACAGCTAACATAGGAATCAATTACAGTACCCGTTAGAGTTATACAGGCATTCCTTGCATTAGTTTATACTCTGGAAGAATGATGTAATTATTCTGCTCCCTTTTATTATCTCGTAAGTAATATATCACAAGCTTAGAAATTTTTAAACATCTTCCCTACAAGTCAACTCATGTGGTTTGTATATTTAACACATAAAATACATTTTCTCCTTTTTGAATAAAAGTTGTTTTTGAAGTGCTATATTTTCATCTCATAGTAAAAATCTGAACTGTGTGTGTGTATACATATTTTCCAAAAAACATTTTTCCCTAATTCTGAAACCATGAACATATATCAAATTTTAATAACATGCATTGATTAGAACCCCTTTCTACAATAGTTTGAATAGGTTTGCTTTAATTACCGCCATCTGTCAATAGGTATTGCTATAATAAACAGTTAAACAAGTAGCTGCAAAACTGGAATTTTAACTACACTGGTGGACAAAATTAAGAGAGGGAAATAATTTTCCACATTTCTTGTAAACTATCAAACAAAATTTAGGCAGTTAGTTGCCATATAATGTCATTGTGGCACTGAAATGAATTTACAAATTGCTGTGAGCGTCACTACGGCAGCAGGAGGTATAAAAGTCTGCACCCAGCTCATTCTGCTCTGCAATACAGTACTGATTTTTATTGCCTTTTCTTGAATAATCCTGTTGTTTTATGCTCTTTTTATGTTTTTATGTGAAATCAGTACACAGCATCGCTTAGACGAAGGTATGAGGTGGAGAATCGTGGGCCAGGCTTGAGACTGGGCATTTCAAGCTCAGCTTGCAAGAGAACTGGATGTAATACCAAATGTCATCTCTAATTTGTGGGATCAGTTTAAAAACAGTGTCCAGAAGACCAGGAAAAGGTTGCCCAAGAGTCAAAACAACCAATTACGACCAGGGCACTTTCTACCAAATGCCAAGGACATCTACAGCTATATAACTATCTCATGGCCTTGCTACTGTTTCAAAGAAGACAGTTGCCAGAAGGCTCCTTGAGACAGGACTGTAAGCCAGAAATTCTGCTATTTGCATCCCACTCATTCCATCCCACAAAAGAGAACGTTTACAATGGTGCATACAACCCCAACACTGGGCACAGCTTCAGTGGGCTAATGTTCCCTTCACGGGTTGTTCTAGATTCAGTCTACAACTTGATTATCAGTGATTATTGATAAGGAGAGAACCTGGGACCATATGCCATCCCAGCAACATCATGGAAAGACCACAATATGGTGATGGAAGAATGAAGGTCTGCACAGGGATCATGCAAGATACCCGCACACTGCTTCATGCATTTGACACTGGTTCCATGAATGCCCAGATGTACAAACAGAAGATCCTAGAGACTCTTCACAGGTGCTGTTGGCCCCGAGTTCATTTTTATGAACAACAATGCACGACCACATAGTATCCACCTACTTGATGACTATCTGGAAAGTGAGGATATTCACCAAATGGACTAGCCAGCCAAATCTCCTGACCTTAATTTCATCGAATGTGCTTGGGATCTTGAGAAATACTGGGGTACTGCAATACCCCAACTCCCATCCAGAATCATTCAGGAGTTAAACTGCTCTGGTGGAAGAGTGGGTGCAACTTCCAAAGGCACTCCTGAACTCTCTTGTTAACAGCATGGCTACTCGTTGTGCATGCTGTCTGTCTGCATACTAGGCACTGCCATCTTTCAATCTCAAGTTTGGACCACAATGGACTCTCTGCCATAACTTATGCTAATGAATGACATTTTCATTGTTGTTTTGTACACATTATTCTCATACAATAAATTATATCCATACCTAATTTCATTTATTTATATCCAGTATGGTAACTTACAGTAACTCTAATTTAAAGCACTTAATAGAATTTTAAACCGACATAGTTAACTAATAAAGGACATTAAAAAATCATTTTTTATAAAGTTTTTACAGATAATTTTTTCATGAAAAGTATAATATATAAGTTGCATTTAATTTTCTATTCTTAAGTTTCCTTCTTACTTTTTCAGCAAAAATTTATTAGTTAATAAAAAAATGTTAAAGTAAAAATTATCCTTCTTTCCATCTTGAGATCACAAATCATTAGGAGAATATCCACATACAGTTACTAAAGCCTGAAAAAAGCACGTCTGCGATGTTATTGTCATGCGATGATTTGTAGATACTTTATTTTTTACCACGATATTTTCGACGATGATGTTTTTAAATTGCGAAGTTTTTGAACTGCTTTATTTTCGACGATGATATTTTGTACCACGATGTTTTAGAACTACGATGTTTTTTCTCATGATGTTTTCAACACGACGTTTTTGCCTTGCGTCGTTTTCTCTGCGATATTTTCGTCCGCGATGTTTTCGGCTGTAACCATCCAGTATTTCTCAAGATATTTGAGGAAAAGTGTTCCATCTCTTAATTTTATCCATCAGTATATATAAATGATGGGAAGTCTTCTATATATGCATGCATTTATTTTAAATGAAAGAGAAGAAAAAATAAAATATATTTATTCTATTCCTCTGAAAGATCAGTAACATCAAATATACAGTTCAAAGGAATGATAAATGCCATTTTCCACAAGAAAAATAGTGCGCCACTAAACAACATGACATGTGCTCTGAGGACATTGTTAGTAATTCATACTTTCTGCACTGAATCACCATATAAGCTAAATAAAAGAAAGGGGAAAAAAAAACTTTTTTTCAGTATAATAAAATGGTTTTATAATTTAACACAGAAAATATAAAAAGCATCATTGCACTTTTCTACTTGTCCGTACATGGTGTGAAGTAAGTATTTAATCTTCAGGCTCAGACAGCCTTCGTCCATTTGCAAAAATGCTACCTATTACATTAAAAAAGAAATTGTTAGAATATTACAATGCGTATGACTATTCAGTAGATGCTTACTATGACTTTCTATGGATATAAATTTAAAAAGAAGCCAAATATGTGCAGTATTTAGACAAAAATTGAAAAGAAAGGGAAAAAAAGCATTTGATTTCTTATTACATGAAGAAATAACTGGAAACTTACCATGTTTTACACACAAAGCATAAAAGTAATAGTTTGGGAAAGGTGGAAATAAATTATTTTACCTTGTTATTATCTTAAATAGTGGTTCAACAAAACAAGTATATTCTGGAATAGCTCGTTATATGAGAAAACTGTTTTCTCAATTATCACAGAAATATCAAAGCACGGTCAAGAACCTGTTTTGAATTTATCATAAATAATTTCCAAACTTGTTGAAATATCTTTTCCATGTAATTCTACAGTTTGTCTATGCTATATTAAATGTTAATTAAAAAAGTTTCTTTGAAGCTTAAAAATGTTGGGTGCTTTAGCTGTACCATATTCCGAGGAATATAGAATAGTTGCCTTTTTTAAAAATATATTTATCTTCCAAAATCATAAATGTGACCTCCTATTCCATACCTACAAACTGACTACTCTGCAACAGTTAAAGCCCAGGGATTATGCACATTGAAGAGACTTCACATGAGATAGCAGCATTTTTGAGCAAAATGACCTCATTTTGCTCATGCTCATGATTAATGAGGCTCATTTTCTTCTCAGTGGTATATACTGAATCAACAGAACTGCCATTACTGGCCTTCTGAAAATTCAAAAGAATTACACAAAAAAATCGCTGCATAGCCCTAAAGCGATGGTTTGGTGCATCATGGATAAAATTGCCATCATCAGTCCTTACTTTTTCAAAGATAATGGGAATGCTGTTACCATGAAGTCGGAGTGCTATATCAAGATGATAAACAATTGCTTTTAACTGAATTATGATGATAACACATTCTATTCAACATGAGTGGTTTTTCAATAGGATGGGGTGACAGCCTATATAGCTAGAGCATCAATGGACATTATTGGCCTTCTCTTCCTTGGTTCGCCTAATTTCCAGATTTGGTGTCTTTACTGGCCTCTTCAGTCTTCTTACATCTGGTCCTCCATGTATGATTATCTCTTGTGGAGTCATCTTGAGGAACATGCATATAAGAATGAACATGTAAAACATGTGGAGAGTCCCGATTCTTAATTTCACTAAAGAAAATACCTCGTTATTGAAGAAACAATCATGCGAGTATAAATTTGTGAGATTAGTAATTTGGCTCCGCAGCTGCGTATCTGCTTCGCATACATCTCAAACCAAACCATTTTACATAAGAATAGCGTTGATTTTACACCTACTACTATTGTATAACCCTCAACGCTGAGCTGGCGAATCATTATTCATTACATTTTACTTTCATCACTGCATGTTTATCAATACATGACAGCTTCAGTAATGACTCATGCAGCAATGTCTAAAAAAAATTTTTTTTTGTATTAGTAATTGAATAACAAGAGTATACCAACCTTTTATGCTAATATTACGCTTGGCGATGATTACAGATTAAAGTTAAATGCGCTAAGAAATGTTGACGAGGAAAAATTTAACAAAAATTTCTTGTCGTATGCTAAAAGTAGATTTTGTAAATGAAACTCATATGCCAAAAGATTACATTTAGTGCTACTTGAATTAAGAATAACTGATATGTTTTTCACATAAACCCAGAAACAGCAATTTAGCTCGTGTGGCCACACTGAATGCCAGAATTTAGGGAAGACAAATTTTTTTAAATTAGGTGAAGTACCGACAGACAAAATTAAGGGATGAGAAGTTTTTTATAATCTAGGAAAGCACTGTAATCTAAAGTTTAGGGGGGATTTAGAACTCAAGAAGGCACTTTGTAGCAGAATTTAGGACCCACAGAGACTGTATCAGGCAGTATTTAGCGGCGATCCTAGATAACTCTTAAGTGGGATTTCTTTTTTTAGGACTCAGGTTAGTCTTAACCCTCCTCACTGCATATATTTTTTTTTATCAAAATAGGTTAAAAAATTTCGTATCTATTTTATTACATATAATTTAGAGTTAAAATATAGAAAAAAAATTTTGTAAAAGTTTTTTTTTTTAAATATAGAATTAGATTAAGACACAATAACACGCCGAATAAATACTAATTCAGAAGTCAAACAACAAAAATCAGCGTTAAATTTTGTAGGTATAACGCTGATTTTTGTTGTTTGACTTCTGAATTAGTATAGAATTAGATCATAGAAAAAAGTTGTCAGAATATTGAAATTGAAGAAAAATGATATAAAAGGAAAATTTTGAAAATTAATATTGGTTAAATTATGATTTATTTTATAAAATACATAAATACATATATACTAATGAAAATATTTGCATAATGTAATATTTTGCATATAAATTTTTCACCACTGTTGAGCATTTTCAATAGAAACTGAATTTTTAGATTCATCACTATCTGCAGAGGAATCCGAGAAATTCTCATCAGTTTCGCTATAACTATCTTCAATATACTTGAAATCAGAGTCAAAACTACTATCAGTGTCAGAAATATCATCAGGAATATAAGTTATATCACTCGCAAAACGCTTCCTGCCAGACATCTTCGAGCTCTGAGCGCAAAATGCTATATTACGTATTCTTGTATATTTGGCAGAAATGTGGACAACTAATGCGATCTGTTAGCCCACATCTAAATAAACAATTAAACATTACAGAAAAGCCAAAAGTAAACCTTGAACTAGGAAAGAGCGGGTTGCACAGTTAAAATTGATAGCAAAAATTCATTCTCTGCGGAAATCGCGAGTTGCACAAATTTTCCTACTTCTACGTTGCTTGTGGAAATCGCGGGATGTGCAGCGAGAGGGTTAAGCATGTAAAAGAAGTAGATGTATATATAATAAATAACTAATGCAATTCAGACTTAATTCAGTATGTGAGAGAAACAAGACTAAATTTAGCAGAACAACTTGTCTTTCATACCAGTCTTATGATATGTAGCCAATATGAATAACGGATATTATTAAGCTAGACTAATATTATCTTTACTAATTCTAAGGAATTTCAGCTAATGTAGCAGACTTCACTGCTCCTTAATCTTCTAATTTGATCCAGCCTATTATTTTTTGCAGACTGTTATTATTACAGAAATTTTATAAAAATTAAAGTTTGAAATTTCCATTATGTCAAAAAGAGTTTCTAATTCTGGAGCTGCCAAAGAATCTACAAGGCGAAAGCATGTTTTGATGTCCATTAAACAAAAAGTGGAATTGCTGAAAAAAATGGATAAAGGCATATCCGTCTCAAAATTATGTGAGGAGTATGGCAGTGGAAAGTCAACTGCAATATGACATAAGAAAAAGAAACGTTTTGAATGTTTTGTGGATTCCGACACCCCACTCACAATGAATATCAGAAAAATTGCTCATTAAGCTAAAAGTGATATTCATGACAAAGTGATGATCGAATGGGTCAGACAGCGTTGCAGAGAAAGTGTGCCATTGGCACGTCCAATGCTAATGGCTTGAGCTAAAATATTAAGTGAAGAAATGAAAAATCACCATCGTATAAGGCAATTAAAAATTGGCAACCTCTACAGAAAAGGCTCCAACTGGTGTCAAATATTCCAAAGCGAGACTAACAATTTTAGTGTGCACAAATGCTGCAGGAAATCACTAGTGCAACCTTTTAGTAATCGGAATGATGTCGAGCAATTAAAGGAGTAACGATTTTCCCCGTTATCATTCAAATAAAAAAGCATGGATGACACAAGCGTTAATGAATGATTGGTTTAAAAACCATTTTATACTTGAGGCTTGGCAATATTTGAATTTGGTTGGTTTAACCTGATGACTCAAAAATAGTCCTATATTGTAGACAACTGTTCGACTCATACTTCACTTAAAGTTTTATTGAAAGATAAATGTATCTGTATTATTCTTTCCTTCAAATTGTACACCCGTCATTCAGCCTATGGATATCGGAATAGTGCATGCTGTGAAATGCAAATATAAAGTAGCATTTTAAAAATCCATGTTAAATTTCTTGAACAATGACAAAACTATTCAATATTTTAGCATAAAATCTGCTGTGTGGAGCATTGCAAGATTGTGGGAGGACGTGTCTTCAGATACTTGATAATAAAATGCTAAATAGATAAATGCTTGGCATAATTTATGGCCAGCTGCCATATTTCATAGTGACGATAACGAAGATGATAGGTTGAAATTTGAAGGTTTTCAGATATCAAAAAATAAAGGTGAAATTTTCCAGTTATTGGATTTTGTAAAGAAATGAGGAGAAGAGGCAATAAATGAAGATGATACAACAGAAGTTTTTCATTGTGATGACAATGCCCCAATCATTAGTCAATTAACTGATGATGAAATCTGTAGTATGGTTTTAGATCCAGAAAATACCACTACATATAATGAAGAAAGTGACAGAGAAGTTACTTAAAATGAAAAAATTTGGTTGACAAGTTAGTCAGAATTCTAGATACAGCAATTACAGGACCTGAACGGTGGAACTTTGTTCCTGAACAAGACATTATGTCTGTTTATAAAATTAAAGAGAGAAAGAATTAGCACAAAAAATGCAGCAACTTAAAAAAATTACATTAAAAGACATGTTTAACAAAGTAAACAAATAAATATTAAGCTTTGTTTTTGTAAATTTTGATACCCTTTACATCATAAATGCTCTTTATTTCATAAATTACGATTGCATATTTTTAATCGTATAATTTCTGCATGCCATCTTATTAGATTTAAACTGATGATCTAATATCTGAAAAAATCTCAAATCCGGAATTGCCAAAGTCCCAACGAGTCTGGATTCGGACTTTGTACTGTATTTGTGAAATGCACTTTTAATTTTGTTCAGTGATCTTTAACAACTTAACCAACTTATTAGAATTATAACTTATGTTTGATTTAGGATTTACAGTGTTTATACATCCATTTGGTTCTGTC